CCAGCCCCCCTGCGACCCGAGTGAGGATTAAGTTTATAGATATTACTGTATAGATATTAGATCATAGATGATAGATAATAGAACCCAGGCATGCAAACTTTAGAGAACATGCAAACTCCACACAGAAAGATCCCAACCGTCCTAACCGGGACGCAAACCAGAGATCATGTAGCTGCAAAGCAATGGTGCTAACAACCGGGCCACCGTGCTTTCTGAATCAATGTATGCCGCTTTTTTTCCCCAAGTGTCCACAGGTGTTACCAATATTAGAAATAAAAGAAGGCTCTACAGACTATAGATATTTTACTTTTATCCTTTCCATGTAAACACAGCCTGCAGTTCAGTCAAAAGGTTCTTGAATTCTTGTGGCATGTCTGTTTATCACAGCAACGTCATTCAGGACTTTTTGGTTGTACTGAGGAGTGCAGACTTTTATTTATTTATTTTTTTTTTACCAAATATGGTCAGAGTAAACATTTTATTTTTAAATGAGGCCTGTTGAGTAATTTGATTATGATTGAATATCATCACTTTAAGCTTAGTTTTGGTTCATTTTTGATGTGATTAGTTCACAGACTGCTGGAAAGCTGCAAATTCAGCAATGCTTTCTGTCTTCACACTGTCTGGTTCTGATAAATGATGGAATTTAGGTGATCTTTGGCCTTTCAAAGCCAACAGTGGGTTAAACCCATCAGCTCTAGGTAAATCTCTGTATTTCACAATATGAGTTTTAAATCTGGTGTCCTTGCGGCGACATTCTCCCGGCGGTGCACTGGTAGTGATGTGATTTACATCAACCAGCAACCAGTGGTTTGTTTGAGCTGATGGGGGAAGGAACTGTGGTGACAGATGAGGCCCCAGTAGCAAGAAGATGTGAAGGAGGCAAAGGAAAACCCGAGGAGGCATCAATGAAAAATGTCTGATGCTGCAGATATAAAAGAAACTTCAAAGGAAAGAATACAGTTCAGCAAGCAAAGCATACGTCAGAATATGTGTCCACAGAACGGGGCAGACTGAAGTTCTGTACTGTGGGTTTAAAGCTGTGTCTCAGCAAAAAAAAAAAAAAAAAAAGAGCATTAAAATGGTCATTTAAATGATTGCACAATTGTGGAGCTGCCACTAATGAAACTGATTTATCTGCTTTTTGTTTTCTTGATTAATGATTTGGTCTAAAATCTATCTGAAAGAGTAAAATACAGTTGCATCACAGACTAAATCTGTCCGGTTCACTGTTAAATATGATAAAGAAAAGCATCAAACCCCCAGAGTTTAGGAGCTGGAACAAAGGAAAGAATTGAAAGGACTTAAACTCATAATATCAATAAGAAGATTAATTGTTTCAGCTCCAAACTTTTGTCAGGCCATCAGTGCATTTGTTTTTGAACAGCAGAATGTTAAGCAAAATTAAAAGTACACATTTTTCCCCCCAAGAAGAAAGCACAGAGTTTAAAGGAGAGTTTACTTCAGGGAAGGATCAATGAGCATCTGTTTCCATGGAAGAGAACACAGAAAGACAGGACAGGAAGACCTTTTATTAGACCTGATTGTTATGCAGACACCAGTAACACATCAGTGCACTAATAAACTGACGCTAAACTCGTGTTTGTGGAGGTTAGAGGAGTCTCAAAGGAAACATCAGCCTGATATCAGTTTATGTACCTTAGTTAAATTGTGATTTGGAGGAAAGCAGCACCTTCTTCCATCAGTGATTGTGATTTACAGTCTGTTGGGAACATCAGCAGCCTGTGCTTAATTACGGAATCAGCTTTGCATGTTTAATTAAAAGTGCAGAAAGCAACGTGAGCTCCACCAGACAAACAGTGTTGAAGTATCGGAGTTAAACCTGATGTTTTCTGTGAGACAAAGAATGTAGTGTTGGTTGAGTGTTGACACCACAACACCTCGACTTCAGTGCAGACAAACACAGAATAAACTGATTAAACTACAGCTGATGTTAGTTTTGAGGTAGAGCAGGTATGTGAATCTGATTGAGATGTTTCGGTGAGCAGAAAATTGCAAGGTAATGCTTTAAAATACTAAATTACATCAACCATACAATGAACAATAATAATCTCTGTGCTGCTGTTTATCCATCTTGATTGTTTTGGTGTGAGTGGTGTGAGTGGCCTATATTACACTTCTCTTGAGTGTAATATTTTTTATATTTTCAGCCTGGAAAAAATGTCGACTTAAATGTTTCTCTTGACAAATGAACACATTTTCATGCATTTCTTGTAAAGTCTGTGTGCTGTAAAGTCAGCAGTGGTATTCTGGGTGTCACCACATTATATACGTCTGTTCCTGCACTAGACTCCACCAGTCTTTATCTTTAAAATCAGCGCTGAATAAAACATTTCACACCCAAAGTCAACTACGGCAGTTTATTCTCTGGCCTGTAGTGTTTTTTGCTCATCCTGTTTTTATGTGAGCTGCCGAGTTTTGGAAATATCAGCCATAGCGATGTTGTATATATAGAACTAGATGGCGGTTGTGGCGCTCAAAATCTTTTTTAGGAGATTCAACTCATTGCAAATGGTGCTTGACATGTTTGTATAATGGGACTTCCAGGGAGAAATGTGCAGGAGCCCTGGGAGCAGAGTGAAGTTGCACAAGGACACTGCTTTGTCAGGGAAGGCAGCGAAAATTAAACCAGGTCTTTGATTTTTATAGACAGACTTTTTGATCACCCCATTTAATTTAACTAGATGGCTCTCAGCCCAACTGCAGTGCCTCTTTCCAAAAATCACGAGCCGGTTACTTAAGAAATGTTGTTGTGATCAGCTTCATGTAGGAACTATATTCTTCAATTCTTATATTCTTCGCTTAATATTTGCTAACATTGTGTAATATTGTGGTCTTAAACTTAATATTGAAACTTGCAATGTTAAACTTGATTTTTTTTCCTACTGTGCATTCTTCTGCGCATCAAACTGCTCACTACAAGGTCTGTGGCTCATTATTTCTGAAAAAGACACATTCCTGATGCGGGGTTTTTTTGTGTATTCTTTTGCACTTTCACCACAACTCAAGTGACGCCTAGTTCCTTTATAAATTCCACTGTTAACAAAACAGTCTGTGCCTGTAAATATCAACAACCTGGTTTCACTTTGGCTGCCTTCCCTGTCAAAACAGTCTATTTGTGCAGTGATACTCTACTCCCAGGTACGGTGTCCCAGGGCTCCTGCAACACTTCCCTGGAAGTCCTGTTATGCAAATATGTCAAGCATTATCTGCAATAATCTAAACTGTCAAAATGAGAAGCTTTAATTTCATTTAGGAAGGAGGAAAAAGTCACAAGGAGTCAAATTTTGCGAGCAGGGCGGGTGGAGAGCGACAGTCAAATGTTCTCAAGATGTTGCATCAGAACTCTGTGCTGACGGTTTGAGCGTGAGGGATGAATTTGTGGTGCGCAGCCACGAGAAAGTTGAAGAAAACAGCGAGCATGCTCCTGGTGCTCCTGATCTGACACTCCTCTCTGGTTTTGGATGCTGCGTCTCTTCTACTGTGAAAACTATTGTTTCTCCTCTTGATACTAGCCACAGACCCAACTGTCATCACCAGTAATGATCCTCCACATGAAGATTGGACCATCCAGCTGCTGACTAAGGCAGAATCTTCTCTGCTCCAGTTCACAGTCCACTGTGAAATTGTAAATGTGCACCTACAAATGGTTACAAAAATCTAGAAGAGGTTAAAAATGAAAGGCCATGACAGTTGTTGCTTGCACATGTTGCCCGTGCTTGACCGTGATAAGCTCCGTGCTTGTGCACCTCCAAACTTTTTTGATTGCACCGTGTATGTTCAATAGAATAAACTCTGCAACTCACAACCAAACAGTCTAGAAGGATCAGTAGCACTAATGGGCAGAGGAAAAACATATATATATATACGTATATTAGATTTTGGGGTGAACTGACCTTTTAATAAGATTTGTTTAGGCCTGACTAGGAGAAGTTGATTTAAAGACCAAAACTGCTTAAATCTAAAGAAATGTATGTGCAGGAGTCAAACAAACCAAGCAGTAAAGCCCAGAGTTACACCGCTCACTACACTGTACTCTGATTTTGTCTGAAACATGTCTGAAAATGTATGAATCCAACAAACTAAAGTCAACATATTCTACAGATTGCAAATATAAAGATTGTGAACAAATGTAGTGGAATAAATAAAGATGGATCCTGCTGTTGTTTTAATACCCAGACCGTCAGAGTTCCCTCAGCCACGCTCCCCACGACGACCCCCAGAGCCACTACGACCTGCCTGTGAACAGCCACATCCCGGGACACTATGACCTGCCGCCAGTCCGCCGACCCCCCTCCCCCAGCGCCTCCCCCAGGAGAGCTCCCCAGTGACAATCACAACAGAGTTTGCCCTCCTCCTCTTCCTCGCTTTGGAGGTGATGAAGAAAGACTCCTCTCTGACAGCAGCAGCTGCAGACCATCTGCAGAGCGGTGGCAAGGCATCCACAGGAGTGTTTACTTTGGATGCCCTCCTTTTAACTCGACACTGCCCCCCTGTGGGCTTAAAGTGGTACTCCCTCCACCGTGGCAGACCTGTCCTCCAGGCTGGGGAGCCAGCAGGCTGCAGGGCTTCAGCTGCGTCCCCCTCCCATGGCAAAAACCCACCAGTGGACTTCACAAGCAGCGACTTGGAATGTGTTTGCATCTAAACATGCTGAAATTTTTAGTTTTCCACACATTTTTCTTGCTACTCATCAGCTGGCATGCCTGTTTAAGGGGCCCTTTTAGTCAGAACTCAAATTTTCTTCTGTCTCCATCACCACCGATGACTAACATAGGAATTGCTTTATTTCATTTTGCATGTTAAATTCAGGTAAATGACATTTTCAAATCATTTTTTTACCAGGCAGCTTTGAATGAACTGATCACAGCTGGACTTTGCTTTGATTAGCTGCTTGAAAACTTTTTGACCTTGTGTCCCCTAATGCATTTTAAGTCTTTAAATAGTGTAAACAGTGCCTTTTTTTTATGTCTGTTTTTCTTTTTTTTACAATGACTCATACCTTTGTTGTTTCCAGATGTGACATTTAGGGAATGAAACATCTCCATTGTTAAGAAATGCAACTTTTTGCCGCTGTCAGAGGAAACTTTGTAAATATAGAAATAAATATATTGTTAGCAGAGTAATGTAGAACAACAGCCCTACTTTTTGATGAACATGTTGTGAAGGTCATTTACGTTTGTTTATCAATAGATATTAACGCGTCATTGTGAGCACAAACACTGACCGTGCTGTGAATAAGCCATCAACAAGCATAATCAAAGCAGCATTATGAATGTCACTGCAGTGTCCTACGGCATTTTTTAACTTTACGTGATATTTAAAGGACCACTCCACCTGTCTCACGTCTCAAGGGTACTCCACAAATTTTGCATCGCGATTCTAGTCAGAACCAAAGGTATCATCTTTTTTATTCAGTGCATTCTATTTTCTTTAAAACTGGTGCCTAAGTTACCCATGATGCAACTTCAGGTGTCAGGCACACATGAATTTTTCAGAGTGGCAAAAGTGTGACCTGCCTGACTTCACCTCTGATCGGTTACCCTGAAACTCATATCTAAACCCTAACCAATCTCACTCCTGGCACCCTCATTTGCTGAACGATTGGGTAGTACTATTCTCATAATTATTAATTAGTTGTTTCCAGCAACCCTGTAAAAAAAATCAGAGAGATCAAGATTGGATATAAGCAGACCCCCTCTGTCTAAAACAAATTTCTCCTGAGAGAGAGACAAAGATTCCTTAACCATAACCTTATAAGGATGGATGGCAGCAAATATGTAAAATTATCTGAGGAACGTGATGGTAACCACATTTCTGACTAGAGTCTGCACAGACATACCTGCCCGCCTTTGAAACGAACCATTCCAAATTTCATACTTTTTATTTTGAGATGTACTGCTTCATCATAATCTTGTGCCTTAATCTTTGACTGTCTTGCTCATATATCCAGACTGTAGTGCAAAATCAGCCGTCATCATTAGTCTGTGCACTCTCGGCTGCCAAGCTTGTTTATACTCAATGTGACAAATCTTCACAGAGGATTGTGGGTCAGAAAGGTCAAAAAAGCATGCTCACTTGCAAACTGCAAAACGCAACTGAATGTAGTTGGACATGTTGGTATTTTTGGCACGCTGTATTTGTGTGTTAGGACATACACTGAGCTGTCATTCAAAGCAACCATGCCCGTATCATGCTCAACTTCAAGCCTTAGTATAATATCAACAGGTGAGTTAGATAGCAATTCACCCGCTGTATAGCTGTCATGAACAAAAAAAGTAGCTACAGAGACCAAACCTATTTTCTGTCCCAGGTTGTAAACATGTTTATTTCTGCTGCAAAGTTGGAAATGCTGACATGGAGGCCTATCTGGGTTGACTCACTTTTAGAGCCAGCATCAAGTGGCCATTCGGGGAACTGCAGTTTCTGATCTTCCTAAGTTTTCAGCCTCAGAGGTTGATGCTTGAGCACAATCAGTCTATGAGGAAAAACTAGCAGTTACTAACCACTATTATCTAGGACATTATAAACATGCATTGGAGCCAGCAACAGTCAAGACTGCGGCAGCATCACGTTCAAGAGGTGTGTGCTTGTATTTGAGCTGCTGGCGAGTGTGTTTTGGTAGAAAAAAACAAAACAAAAAACAGTTTCTACATCAAACTGCTCAAAACAAGGTGTGTGGATTCTTTTGAGTAACTGGCTTATGATTTTGAAAAGAGACATTGCTATTGAGTTTCTGAAATGCTCATTTTATAATTTTTTTTGGCACCACAAGCCAGGTCCCAACTAGTTCCATCATGAAGTGCGATCAAAAAGTTTGCAGTGCGTAATACAAAATTACCCCTTTTTAAAATTTGGCCGCCATCCCGGTTGGAGCAAGGCTCCTTGTGCAGTGATTCACCGCTCCAAGTGCTCCTGCAGCACTTGCAAGACAGCAGCATCTTTATATACAGTCTGATGCATCTATAGTTCTGACAGAGATTCAAGCCTCCAGCAGGGACGAGGAACATGTCTGCCTAACTCCTTGCAACAGAGCTGAACAATTAATCAAATTGTTACTGTGATATGCTCAGTGCAAAATCCCAATTGCAGGAGGTGCTCTTTTTTTTTTTGATAAAGGTAAAATGTATCACGTCATTATAAATTAAGCATTGGTGGTGCTGCAATATTGGGGGGTAAAAAGAAAAATTTCCATTCAAATTGTGATTCCTTTGTCTTTTTTGTGCGTATTTTTCTACAGTCAGATTTTTGTCATTTTCTCACTCCACATATGTTTTTCCCACAATATTTTTATCCAAATGCAGTCATACCCTACAGTTTTTGAGATGTTTTCTTGCACACTGATTCACCATGGACAGATTTTATTAAAACCATCAACTGTTTTGGGTAAGTGAGACACCGTTTCCATTAAGAGAAGTTTTTTTTGTGCGCGTGTGTTAATTGTAATATTAAGTGTTACAGTTTCATTTGCTGCAATTAGTCTGGGAGGAAACCAAAGTTGAGTGTTGGCTTTACAAAATTCAGAAATGCTGTAAAAGGTGTGTTTTGTATAAAATATCAACCAGTGAAGCTCTTTAACCTGCCAATTAGATAACAAAAACCAGATAGAATGTTTTTTTTGTTTTTTTTAAACATATATGTCCATTTATTGTTGAATGTAACCATGGGAATGTGTATATAATGTAAATAAAAATGTCAGCACCTTTTCATCGCTCTACATTTTCTACATCTGTAAATAATTACAAGAAGTGATCACTGGAAAAAATAAATTTTACTCAGCATTGTTTTAGAAAAAATTAAACAAAACAATTACATCCACTTATTGCATGGCTTTTTCCCCCATAATGTGAATAGCATCATGATTTGACACAAACCCCACTTTTACAGCTTTGGCATTAATGGTTTTGGGTGTCGTCCTTCAAATGATTTGTGAGACCTCCACCAAGACTAGAAACAGGGAGGGCTTAGGAGTTTACAAAGGCCTTTAAAAGTTTGCATATCTGCAGTTTGAGCAGGAGTCTGTTAGCATTTTCTGCAGTGTGTAGTAATTTATAATCATTCATAAAAGCCCCTGAAACACCCTGAACACACCCTGTAACTAACTGTTCTTAGTGGGAGGATTCAATTGTGCATATATTGCACAGCTATGTACAATAATTATATCTTGTGATTTAGATATTAGATAAATCAGTGCCACATAGGCCATTTCTCTTTGGTTTGTCACTGGCTTTTAAAGGCACTTTGGGGATCATAATGTCAAAACTGCTCAAATAAAGAATCTAACTTGGCAAAAATGCCATCTATGAAGCACAATAGAAAAAAAAAAACAAACAAAAAAAATACTACAACAGCTATCAAGTATTTTCAGTAAATGCTTTGATATGCGTTTCACTGGAGTATAAATGACTGAAGCTGCCACACTACAGTACAAATCTACCTGCTGTGCATAGCCGGCGAGGCCCTCGCTTAAAGCAGCGTGTGAAGCCAAAGTCACAAAGTTGTACAAACCCCACAATCCTGCTCAAATCCCAAAATCATGCTAGAAAAGCTGAACAGAAAGAAAAATAAAAGCCCTTATGACCAGTTTTTAGGAGCAACACAAATCGGAGGACGAAGCACATGATGCTTGCTCTGTCCTCTGAAGGCACATTTGTAATTTCAACCTGTATTTAAAAAAAAAAAAAAAAAATGCAGTTTTGCACTTGAACTAGATGAGAAAATTCAACCTCTACAGATGCACCAAATTTATCAGCATAAATATATTCATAATATACCCCCAGTTACAAAACAGATTATGTTTTTCAAACCTCAAGAATTAAAAAAAAAAACAAATAAGGCAGCACATTTAAAGAAGCACTTTGTTAATTATTCAACTTATCCAGCAAACAATAATTCCTTATTTGTATATATTCTCAAAAAAAGAACCAAATACTTGCCTCTGGTGCGAGCTGTGAATATATTCATCTCAATAATTATTTTCTCTGTGTGCACCACAGCTGCCCGACAGCATCCTCTAAATCCCACAACGAAAATGTTTGTTTCAGGCTAAGGAAAAAAAAAACCTGAGATTTTGTTCCTTTGGTTTTCTTTGGACACTTTGCTGTAGCATGCAAATATGGCTCCTAAAACAAGGCCAATCTATTCTAATTGTAAACCCTACATGTGAGGAGATGTGTTTGATTATCGTGCCCCACAGGATTCGCCCTCCTGCTCTTGGCTGTATGGCTGTATTCCTGACAGGGTTCACAAGGTGTGCGTGTTGAGTGTTGACAGCCAGGCCATTAAATGTGAAACCTCGGTTAAAGCACAAGCGCTGGTCAATGGACTGGTCAATGTGTCTGAGAGAGAGTGCAAGCAGAATAAAGTACAGTACGCGCGTCAGCACACATGCAATAACATAACTTGGAAATACAAAAGCTAAATATGAAAATCCTGTGCCCTCTGCCAAAACCTCGTAGTAAATCCAACCTGCAGATTGAGTACAAAACAAGACACGGTCATATAAAAAACATAAAAATGCTAGAAAAATTGTTTCTCTTGACTGGGTGACAGGAGGAGGTGGGTTCAGGTGACGAGGTGCTGTCTGGTTTTTACATGACAGGGCAGTTCTTCGGGTTCATACGGCCCTGAGGGGGAGGAGGCAAAAGGAAGCGGCATGAAATAACTTACATCTTTTACAGCAAACTAAAGTGGATACATCGAATTTTGTGTAGCCCAGTAAAATCTAGAGCTGTAGTCAAATATATATATTTATATATTGTATTTATTCTTTAGCAGAAAAAAAAAACATATTTTCTACAGAAGAATTTGTTCAATATTACCATTTTCGACATCCACACATATCTCCACAATATCTGAATTTTCACATATGGAAAAATGCATACAATATTTTTTGCTCATTTCTATTGTCTACTGATCATCTTCACATATTTGCATTATCCCCTTTGCTGCTGTAACACTGAAAAATTTCCCCTTAGTAAGATTAATAAAGTATTATGATATCTTAGCACTGAGTGAACTCTACCTGTAGCCTTATTAGCCTAAATGAATTATAGCCCATCATAAAAAGTTAGTATTTGAAGCATATTAAATCATTTGAATCTGGTTATTTTCTACTGAAATCATAAGAACAAACTGGGTGCGGAGCAGCTGCACTTACTCATATGATTCCTGAAAATCTACCAACCAGTGACTCCAGCAAAATTGAGGAATATAACACAGACAAGCCAGTGGCTGTTTTTAGATGTTGCTTGTTGAGCTGCACGCTGCTGTTTGTAAAATGTCTGTATAGATTTATCCAGGTCATGGTAATGGGTAGAGCTTCAGTAAAAAAGCAACTGGACTTCTTTTTTTCGATCCTGAAGATGCTTCTTCACTTCTGACTGGTGGTGGGCTCAGGGGTTTATACTCATCATGAAATCACATGACTCCCAACCCAAGACTCACATGACTCCAGGCGTGGATGGCTGTGAATTTGTCGTTCCAGTTCGACTGATGCATCCATATACACAAGGTGTGTCAGAAAAGTTTCAGGACTGGTGTCACAAAAGACATGTTTCAAATCCCAACTACAAGTTTTCCCCTTCCAAGTAATCCCCCTGGAGTCTAACACACTGTTCCAGCCTTCTCTGCCACACCGCCATGCACTCCTGGAAAGATTCTTCTGGGATCCTCCGCAGCCCCGTCGTCACAGCCATCTTGATGTCACCCATGTCTTCAAAACAGGTCCCCTTGATGACTCCTTGAGCTTGGGGAAGAGGAAAAAAAACCCACAGAGCAAAGACGGGTAAGTAGGGAAGTTGCTCCAGCACGGCGATGTTCTTCTCAGCCAGGAACTGTTGGATGCTCAGGGCATTGTGAGCAGGCGCGTTGTCATGGTGAGGCAGTCACGACTTGTCCTGCCACAACTCTCGCCTCTTCTCACGCACTGAACGAAGCAAACGCCACAGGATCTCTTTGTAGAAGTGCTGGCTGATTGTCTGAAGGGGAAGACTCGTAGTTTGTAGTTTGGGTTTGAAATACATCTTTTCTGACACCAGTCTTGTAACTTTTCTGACACACCTTGTATATCTAAACTGGTAGAGCCATCTTGAAAATGAGAAGTGGGGGTCTACGACATCACTTATCAGGTACTTATAGTGCAGTCCTGAGGTCACTTCCCAGAGACCTTGAGCTATGTGATTTTAGCGGTGAAAATTAACACCTGGGACTCCCAGCCAGTCATTAGAACTGAAGAAGCCTCTTGGATGAAGGTGAAGCATCTTCAGAAACCAGAAAAAGACATCCAGGTGCCTTCTACTTTAGGATAGCTGTTTACAAATGTAACTTTTTACCATTTGTTTGAACAAATGCGGCCACATAGATGTCTTCTTTGACATTAAGTCAGTTAGTTTGGAGCAACTCTGAGTAAACATTCAGTAAATGCCAATTATGTTAGACCGAGCAATCTGCTTTAGGTTGGGCCAGTTCAAAGCAGTTTTTCCTTATAAAAGTAACACCAGAGATTGTCTGGCCAAAGGGAATTTCGTCGAAAGAGAGCATATCAATCAACTGGTCAACCTGCAGACCTCAGTCTTAATAACTGTAATGTTTTATTTAATTTCATTTTGGCGACTAATTACATCTGAATAATGATGACTGTTTGGTTAAGGTTTCTGCCTTTATCAAGGTTTAAATTAAGATCAACTACAGACAGCTGAAACAATAGAAGAAGGTAAAATCTCTACAACTTGTGTTCTGTGGATGAATTACCAACATTTTTAGGTTTTTTGTAACTTTAAATGCTTCTCAGTGCATCACATATATTTCCACATGTAGTGTGACTCAAATATTTACAGGACGAGTGTCACATTATTAGAGGAAGTATCTGTGTTCTTGGATCAGAAATTGACCTATTTTTTCTTTTTTTTCTTTGGCTGGTCATTAAATTAACTGCAGACATCTTATGCTCAAAGTCTGTTTCAAATCCTCAAACATCCTAAAGTATAGAAGTACAACACATCTGGAACATCTGTGCGCTATTGGGACACAGGAGACTGTTCTGCTCTCTGAAACTCCTTGCTGTCAGTGCTACAATCCTCACCATTTTAATCAGCAATAAAATCGTATTACAACATTAATTTAACCCTAAAATACAGTTGTTAATGATGCTGTAGAATTACTGTTGTGACACTGTAAATGTGAAGCACCTGTCTGGGTTCGTTGGTGCCCATGATGGAGGAATGTCCCAGCAGGCCTTCAGATAAACCGCCACAACCGCCGCCACGGTCCGGCTGCCCACAGGAGTCGCAGATCACCGTGCGACTGCGCAGGTTGTACTCGTTTTCTACGCCGCTCGTGCTGTGAGCTCCCTGCAGGGGGTGGCACACAACACACAACACACTTATCACTTATCTGCTCCACTGGGAGAGCTCCTGATGGATTCTTATTGGGCACCAGAACGCGTAATTTACCATGTCGTCGTCATCGTCGTCCTCCCCCTCTTGAAAGAGGGTACGCGTCACTTTCCTCATGGCCATTTCCTGGTGGTAAAGTAACAAACCGTCAATTCACTGCAGTCAAATGAACAAGAAACGTAAGTTTGTGACGTAAAGTTGGTCCCACCTCTCCGTCGGCGCTGAGGAGGCTGGTCTGCACTTGGTTGCCGGTGCCCCAGGAGTCCTGGCTCTTCCACACCAGGTCAGTGGGAGGGTTGTGGGTTCCACCGCCAGATGCAGCCCAGATCTGTAAAGTGAACCCCCATGATATGTAACACACCATCCTGTCCAACATCTGGATAAAACATCGATAACATGCTGAAGCTGCACTTTCCAGTTTGGTTCTGGGGCTCATCATGGTTCCAGTTTATGTCTGGGATTCAACTGCTACCTTCACGCTACATATGTCATTCTGTTTGTTTATCACTATTGGCAACCTGTGCATCATTGACTGTATTCGCATCAAAGGTCACAGAGTTTGTAACTTAACCCTCTGAACTCACGGGCAGGTTAGAAAGACATGCTTTCTTTAAATACAAATCAAGACATTTAAAACATTTACTAGCGTCAGAAATTCCTTTCCATTTTCTGCTGGTCTGTGAATGTACCATGTGTAGTGCATCAAGAAAAACACCCAAATAAGCTTAAAATTGCGATGTCTCGTCCAAATCGCCTGATTCTACATGTCTTGTTGAACAAAAAACTGCAGATCCTGTAAAAATCTAAAAAGGCTTCACTCCTCAGCTCAATTGAGAAGTCATGACTAAGTCAGCTGTAACCAACAGTTAAAAACTTGGAGAGTTTTCAGGTTAACTGCAGGTAGTGTTTTCACAGAACAGAGAGGAAAATAAAACATACTAGATTAACTAAAAAATAAAAAATAAATGCAGCATGGCTCAAAGATGGTATACAGAGGTGATAAGTGTTGGAAGATACATTCAGCATGATGAAACATCTTTCTAGAGCTGATGTGCTGAATACAGTAAAAAGTTTGTGGATGTTGTAAAATTTCTGTGAACTTTAAGAACTTGAATGTTGATGATTTATGAAGTTTTGTCATACCATAGAGGTTCAGGACTTTATATTACAGTGAAAATGAGGCCACAGTGAGTAAAAATGCAACAGGAGGGGGAAAAAAATGCCCCAAAACTACTTGAAGTTCAAAGGGTGAATTAATAATTCTCAAGTTGTTACAGATGTTCAGATAAAACACAAATGATTTAGGACTTAACATTGAAATTCAATAAAAACACTTTGACATTCTCTCTCCCTTTAAGTATTACAACAAAATGCATTATCATGTAGAAAAGTGTGAAGCTATGTCATCTGCGTGCTCATGTGTGTACACATTTTGAAACAAAAAGTCGACTCGCTCATCAACACAAACAAAAAAAATCAGTAGTCAAATAAAGAACAGGAGGATCAACAGAACGCACAGTCACGGTGGCTCCAGCCTTCAGGGCGAACTTGTGGGGAAACTTGTAGACGATGGGGAAGGCATTCCCGACTTGTTTCTTCACCTGCCAGTTGCCCAGCAATTGGTCCTGCACAACAGAAATGCAAAGAGAGACGTGTGATCGGACAGAAAACTGAAATTTGTTTTAGTCCACAAAAAAAAATCAACCAAAGCTAATCCTCAAAAACACAATAGAGCACAAAGATTTTTTTTAAAGGCTAATAAAGTGAAAGCTGAAACTACAAATAGTTGAATATACTTTTTTTTTACATGTGTTAGTGTGACTGTAAATCAATACAAAAGTTGGCAGTCTGTGTCAGAAGACTAAAAGCATCTCATTGTGCACCTTAATAAGGCTGTGAACTGGGTTACCTCGTCAGCCTTGTTGCTCAGACGGACGTAGTTTCCCTCCAGGTCGACGTCGTCCACGGTGATGCGCCCGCTGGCCGAGGCATGCTGGCTAATGCGAGTCTTGGTCACAGTGCCCCCCACCGTGCTGGAGGTCTCGCTGTCGTTGTCGCGGCGCCGCTTCTTGCTGGTGCTCATGCCCGAGGAGTTGCGGCTGCTGGAGGCGGCGGCGGCGGACTGCAGCACGCGGCTGCTGGAGCCGGAGCCAGAGCCGGAGGCGGCGGACTGCAGCACGCGGCTGCTGTGGCCGACAGTCGAGTCAGAGGTCCGAGTCACGGTGACTTTGACGGGCGTAGGGCTGGGGGACAGGTGAAGCCTGAGGAGACGGGGAGGAAGAAGTTCAGAACCGCAGAGATGCAGGCTGATGCTGTGAACCGACATCTGCTGGTAAAATGTTGCTTCAGATCCCATCCTTACAGAATCCTGAGCAGACCCTGAGCTGGGAAAAAACTATCTCATGGAATCATTTCTGTATAATTTAAAGAGGCAACAGACAACTTCTCAACCTTTTTGCTGCAGGTGTTGCAAAAGACTTCGCGTTTTCTGCAGAACCTCACAAACACCGTAAGAACCCTGTTTTGAATGAAAACCCTGATCTCAGTGCTGTGATTCACATTATAATATATCACCGTTTTTAACTGTCATTTTCAGAAAACAATTTCCGGTTATTTTGCAGATCTTCTCTAGTTTGGTAAATTACAGGTAATAACGAGTAAAATCACTCTCAAATCATTTACATGTCAACTGTAAAAAAAACAAAAAAAAACAAACAAAAAGCAAACAAACCAAAATGTGTATTTTTGTAATTCGTTCTTTTACAATGTTTAAATCTGCAAAAATGTTATTTCACAGACATTTGCTGGTTTTTGAAATAAAGGATAAGGTATAATAAGAAATAAAAAATGGTTAATAACATTTTTAAAATTTAAAATCTGTATGTTTACTAAATATCAATTAGTTTCTTCTACAATGTTTGATCATAAAATTACAAAACTTACCTGTACTTTAATCAGATAAAAACATTATTATCTTACAGCAATTTGAAAGAAAAAGTATTGAAAAATGGAAAAAAAAACCTTTCCAAACTGTTGTTAGTCATATTGTTTTGTTGTTTTTTTTTTAAATCACAGAAAAAAACGTATTAATTTACACGATGACTGAAAAAAGAAAACAGGCCAAAACTGTTCAATGATGTCAACTTCAAAAATCTGTTTTTTTATTGTTGTTGTTTTTTGTTTCTTTTTACAAATAATAGTTTTTTATTTCATAACATTCATTTGTAATATTTTACCATTAAAGTACACTGTTTTGTTTTGACTGTTTTTCAATCAGCAAAAAATATATATATTTTATAGATACTTCACTTAAAAGAAGAAACGTGTATATTAAGAGCTCCCCTTTGCCACTCTTACCCAGAGTTCAGACAATTCACGGTGAAAACAAAAGCTCCCGTGTTGCAGATGCACTTTTTTTTATAAAGCTTTGGGAAATTTCAGACCAAACGGAAGTGCACTGTGAAAACAAGACTTACAGGGAACCAATCCAACCAATAATGGAGTCATGACTTTATAGCTGTTGGAATGTGCAACTAACATTTTCCTCTTCGTGATAAATGTGTTTTGCCAGTTTAAATTAATGAATCTTTCTCTACCTGTGTGTGACTGTTCACTGTCAGCTTTTTTTGTGATTTTACCTGACTCTCTGTCCCTGTAAAGTTTTGTTTGTAATAAACTTGTTGTAAACTGTGAACAAGGCATCAAATAGCGCAGTTAATTTGCTATGTGCAACTAACAAAGGTTGAAGCTGGAGTGTGGGAGTTTTACAAAAATAAATGTCTGTTACATTGAAGCCAAGTAAGTTCTCACAATGCTGATTGAGCCTGTCAGCTTTTAGGTAAATCTCTCTGTATGTCACATCATGCTGAAGTTTTTAAACTGTGGTAGTGTTCCTTTGCTGGTGCACTGGAAGCAACTAAGCAACTAACTGTAGAGCTGGAGACGGAGGAATCAACCACAACTGGGTTTATGGTGGAGACAGTGGAGAAGAAAACATCCGAGAAAAGTTCCTGATACTCCAGATCAAATAAGAAACTCACTGCCAGGAGGGGGAGACAAAAGTTCCACACTGCCAGTTTAAAGCAGTCAATCAATAACGGAAGTGTTGTAACTTGAGAAAGCACCACAGGTGGGGCAGCCAGACGGGGAAAAACAATTGCGGTATTTATGAGTGTGGCAAAGAAAAAGGTGTCTAAGGGTGATACTGACGTGTTTTAGAAATGAAAAAAAAAACAAAGAGGCCTTGATGTATTTCAAAGTGGTCACAGGCAGATCAGAGCTGAGCAGGGACAACACGGGACGGACACTGGGTACGGTTGACAAATTGAGCAGATTTTTCAAACACACTTGGCTCAGCCGGTTTGACTTGTGAAGCTGGTTGCAGCAGAACACAGAACCACATTCCCGGTGATTATGCAATCGACTGTCTCTTTCCAATGCCGCTGGACGTGCTGGTAAATGCAGCTTCACTCTGCAGCTGGAAGCAACGATACACTTTGATCCAGCCACAAGAGTAGCACCGAGGTCCAACTCTGACACTGGGCAACAAAGTCAACGTTTTGGCTCAACACCATGGTGTTGGACAGGGTTGAGGTGCTCAGTGCTTCCAAGCTGAGTTGGTGTTTAGGGGTACTGTCAAGTTTAAGCCTCTTAGCAGATTCTGGGCATTTTTAATCACTGTGGGCTCATTCTGTTTCTATTTAAGCAGAAGAGAGAAATTAGAAAATGTCTTCTGCACAGGATGACAAAGTTATACTGCTACTAATCAGAAAAAAACAAAAAAAACAAAGTTGTATTTCTTCGATAATTTCTTTGATTTAAAAAACAAAACAACAATAACAAAAACAGAACTCCACATGTTACAGATATTTAGATGTCTGCATTTTTCACACTATTCTGCACGGCATTTCTGGAAAGATGCTTTACCATGCTGAATGTATCTTCCAACAACTTGCTCCTCTGTGTGCTGCTTTTGAGTCAAGCTGCATTTATATTATTGATCCAGTTTGTTTCATTTTCCTCCCAGTCTCTCTTGTCTCGTCTACCTCAACTGGAATAAAGGCCCAGTGAAAAGCAACAAAAAATAGCAACAATTGGTCCATAATTTCTGTAATTTACAAGAAACTAATTTTTTAATTGTTTTTATGCATTGCAATAAAAACTCACACTGGGAACTTCAAAGGTAAAAAAGTCCTGTCAAAAACCCCCCCCCAAAAAAACAAACAAACAAAAAATATATATATATACACACACTGTTATATATATTATATATGATGGCTGTTGGCAGGAAGGAATTCCTGTATCTCTCCGTTCAACAGCGAAGCTGACGCAGCGAAAGTAGATGATCCAGAGATTTTCAGTTTTTACAGTTTCTGCCGCTGACGAAAGATGTAATTTTGACAATAATGTTGCTTTAAAAGCTATGTTTTGGGGTTCTGAGGGTTAAAACTGAAATCTTTTTCACAAAGTTAGTATGCTTCAGTATTAAGATGCACTTTAACTGGAACTAAAGGGCTTAACAAATTACAACAAAACAATTTCTCCACAACTTCAGTTGTGTTTCAGTCATAGCTGTGTGCCTGCAGCGTAGCAGTGTCTCTAAAATGGTATTTATTAAACTGTTTGCTAATTCCACCTGATCTCTGCTTGACTGGTGGAGTCAAGAAAGTAATGATTTCTATTTCTGCAACCAATTTGTCACTGACTTGCTGGTCTTTTCTCAGAGTGGCTGTATTTTTAATGGCTGCTTCACAGACAACCTTACCTCTCCTCCTCGCCCTCCAGCAGCTTCCTGTAAGCACTGATCTCCATGTCCAGGGCCAGTTTGATGTCCAACAGCTCCTGGTACTCGTCCAGCTGCTGCTGCATCTGGGCTCGGACCTCGGCCATCTCCCGCTCTTTAGCCTCCAGCCGCCGCCACATCAGGTCCCGCTCCCGCGACATCGACTCCTCCAGCTCCTGAACCTTGGCCTCGCTGGCCAACAGCTGATTAGAGACACACAAAGGCGGATCAGTCACATTACAAATGCTGGCTGATGAGGCGGGCAGAGCCTAAATCAATTAATGGTGCTCGGAGGTGGAGAAAGCAGCTGTGCTTTGGAGCATTTGTGTGAGAATGAGCTGGTCATACAGCAGCGTGGCCTGATAGACGGTGTTGTAGTGCAGGTGATACCTTTCTCTGCAGCTCGCTGAGCTGGGCCGACATGCCCTCCAGTCGAACCCGGCTCTGATGCAGCTCTTCATTGGCGGCTCCCACTAGGTGACTGTTCGCGTCGGCGGACTGACGGGCGTCTTTCAGCTGACGGACAGAGAACGACAGTGGTTTACTACCTGCGAGAAACTGGGGTAGGGTCTTGCAGTATTTTGACAGCAAAACCTACATAATTACAAATATTATGTATAAATTATTTATACTGAAAAATGTTTTAAACTAACATTTTCATTTTTGTTGACTGTAAATGCTCAATTTCTGAATTACCTCATGTATTTTACATTTCTTTTTTCATTTCTGGGTCATTGTTGTTTTGAATCCTTTAGTAATATCCATATATGCACAGTGCCGTGAAAAAGTATTTGCCCCCTTCTCAAATTCTTTTTTTTTTTTTTTTGCATATTTTCCCCACTTTAATGTTTAAGATAATCCAAGTAAACACAAAATGCAGTTTTTAAATGATGAATTTATTTATTGAGGAAAAAAAACCATTCAAAGCTACCTGGCCCTGTGTGAAAAAGTAATTGCCCCCTAAACCTAATAACTGGTTGGGCCATCCTCAGTAGCAACAACTGAAATCAAACATTTTCTTTAACTGTCAATAAGTCTTTCACATCACTGTGGAGATGTTTTGGCCCACTCTTCTTTGCAGAATTCTTTTAATTCAGCAACACTGGAGGGTTTTCGAGCACGAACGGCCTTTTTAAAGTCATGCCACAGCATTTCAATTGGATTCAAGTCTGGACTTTCCCTAGGCCACTCCAAAACCTTCATTTTGTTTTTTTTTAAAGCCATTCAGAAGTCTGGTGTGTTTTGGATTGCTGTCCTGCTGCAGAGACCAAGTGTGCTTCAGCTTGAGGTCACAAACTGATGGCTGAACATTCTCCTTCAGGATTTTCTGGTAGAGAGCAGAATTCATGGTTCCATCAGTCACAGCATGTCGTCCAGGTCCTGAAGCCGCAAAGCAGCCCCAGACCACTACACTACCACCACCATGTTTGACTGTTAGTATGATGCTCTTTTTCTGAAATGCTGTGGTATTTGGTATGCTGTGGAACAGTGCTGTCCCCTCTCCTCTTCACCCTATACACCTCGGACTTCTGCTACAACTCAGAGCTGTGCCACATACAGAAATACGCAGATGACACAGCCATCATGGGGTGTATCAAGGATGACAGAGAGAGTGAGTACAAGAGTCTGGTGGACGACTTTGTTGTCTGGTGCAGAGAAAACCACCTGCAGCTCAACGCCTCAAAGACAAAGGAACTGGACATAGACTTCAGGAAATCTGGACCATGCCCACGACCAGCTCTGATTGAGGACCATGAGGTTGAACTTGTACAAAACTACAAGTACCCTGGGCTGTGGCTAGACAACAAGTTGGACTGGACATGCAAGATAGACTACCTGTACAAGAGGGGACAGAGCAGGCTGTACTTCCTGAGGAGGCTCCGGTCATTCAACATCTGCAGGAAACTCCTGCGGATGTTCTACCAGTCGGTGGTCGCCAGCGTCCTTTTCTACGCCATGGTGTGCTGGGGCAGCAGCACATCAAAAAGGGACGCATCGAGGCTGGACAAATTAATCAGGCGGGCCAGCTCTGCAGTGGGCATGAAACTGTGACAGTGGCAGAGAGGACACTGAACAAACTGCTGGCCATCATGGACGATGCCAGCCACCCTCTGCACACTGTCATCATCGCCCAGAGGAGCCAGTTCAGCGACAGGCTGCTCCTCCCCAGGTGCAAAACCAACAGGACCAAAAACTCCTTTGTTCCCTGAGCCATCAAACTGTTCAACTCTGAGCTCGGGGAGAGGGGGAGGAGCAGCAAGCGGGGAGAGGTGGGGAGCGAGGGGTGAGGAGTGAGGACATTGGGGTGAGATAGAGCATCATGCTCTATCACCGGACTGTGTGCAATATTTAGGCACTTTGGCAATTTTGTTGCTGTATCCATTGTTGTTGTTGTTATTATTACTATTGTTGTTGTTATTTTTATTACTATTGTTGTTGTTACTATTGTTGCTGAGGTTGTGTTGGTGTTATTGTTGCAATTTCCCTGAGGTTTCCACCAAAGGGATCAATAAAGTTCTATTCTATTCTATTCTATTCTATTCTTTTATTCTACTTTTGGTCGGCCGGCCACTCCTGGGAAGGTTCACCACTGTTCCATGTTTTCTCCATTTGTGGATAATGGCTCTCACCGTGGTTTGCTGGAGTCCTAAAGCTTTAGGAATGGCTTTGTAACCCTTTCGAATGAATGAATGAATGCCCTTTAGTTTCATTATACAGTGTACAACGATGTGGGGGAGCTTCTCCTATATAAAGATAAAAAAAGGATAAGTATATTTTTTTTAAAAAGACTTAAGAGATATTGTACGAGATGATGGATATATACATACAGATTATGAATATTTACATACGGATAATGGCTATTTACATAGTGCACATAGTGGAGGAGTCTTATTGAGGTAGACTGATAGATGTCAATTACTTTATTTGTCACCTGTTTCTAAATATCTTTGGATTGCAGCATTTTGTTACAGCTTTTTGAGATCTTTTGGCCGACTTCATCTTGTCAGACAGGTTCCATTTAAGTGACTCTTAATTGAACAGGTCTGGAGGTAATCAGGCTTGAGTGTGGTCAGTGAAATTGAACTCAGCTTTCCAAAAAATGTGACTAGCCACAGTTAATTCATGATTTAACAAGGGGTCAACTACTTTTCCACAAAGGGCCAACATTAGATCATTTAAAAACTGCTTTTTGTGTTTACTTTGGTTGTCTTTTCCTAATATTTAAATTTGTTTGATGGTCTTAAACATTTAAGTGGAGAAAATATTTTTAAAAAATAAGAATTTGAGAAAGGAGCAAATACTTTTCACGGTGCTGTATACACGAAAACTGTCCAGTGATTCTCAGCACTTTTTCTAAAGGGGTGTGGAATACCAATGGAGATTTTATAGTTTCATTTACAATTAAATTTCAATGACAAAACTGCTGTAATGTTTTTTTTTTCACATTTCTCATTAAGATTCCACCGGACAGCAGTTATGCCTTTTGAATTAACTCTACTCCTCCATGTAGACGTAAGAATGTTAACGCCTTGACGCAGTCTGAAACACTGATGATTAAATAATTTGCATTATTTGACTTGTGCATTATTTCCCAACAGGACGGCAGAGTTGCCATGAGCAGTTGGACTGTAGGTGGCAACAGAGTGAAGCCTCCTGCAGCGTCCAGATGTACCTTGGAGTTGAAGGTCCTCTCCAGCTCCGTCTTGTAGAGGCGGACCTGGTCGTCGTGCTGAGCTCTCATCTCAGCCAGAGCCTCGGCCAGCTTGCTGTCAAAGTCCAGCTGCCTGGAGTCTACCTCCACTGTCTCTTTGGAATGGCTCTTGAGCTGAGACAATTCCTAGAGAAACCAACAGCAAAAGATGGATGAAAACACCTCTATAGGATTCTTGAACTATGATGATTTATTAATCAGAGGCTGATTTAACTTTCTCTATTACTTTATTACAACTTAATTCAGGTACAAAAAGATTCATTGTATTGATGTTTGCTTTGTTTCATGCTCTACAAGCAACAATAAACACTCCATCTGCAGAAACCTGCTTTCGTCAATGAACTTAGCTGCATTGATCAGTCAGCTGCTGTGCAGTAATTACTTGTTTAAAGGTGCACAGAAATCTTTAAGCAGCTTCTCATTGTGTTTGAATTTGGAAAACACACATGTGCTGCAAGTTTCCAGTCAAACTTTCAGCCGAAACACAAAAATTGCTACTGTAATATAGCAAGAATTGACATCTTTAGTGTTCGGATATGTGCACAGCTTTCGTGTTTCTGTCTGAACTGTGTTTAAAGAAGAGGTGAGGTGCAAAAAAAGGTGCATCTCTGCAAGACACATCTGAAAGGGAAAATGCAAAATAAAACCAGTAGGAGGTTGGAAATGAATCGATATCCTGTGGAAAAGATGAAAAGTAGGACAACGACTGAGACAACAAAGTAAAAATAGAAGTGTGAAGGTGAAGGACCTCTTTGTGGACAGTCTTCTGGAACTCCAGTTCCTCCTTCAGGGTCTGCAGGCGGTTCTCTGCGTCCACTCTCCGCAGCATCTCATCCTGCAGTTGCCTCTTGGCATCGGCTAAACTGCCGTCCAACTAGGAGGGAGTGAGGGAGAGAGAAGTGAGATGAGAGAAATGCTCTTTAACACAGGCATGAAAGCAAGCAAAAAAAAAAAAAAAAAAACGTAGCTGAAGGTGTGACATGTGCAGCCTTGTCTGGGCTGTGAGAAGAGCTCGAGTTCCTCAGTTCATCCAGTAGGTGGAGCAACACCACAGCAGTGTGTCTGTCGGTGCTGCGGTTCACATTCATTGATAAAACAAACAGGAGAGTAGCAGCTTCGTCCATCTCGTCCTCATTCAGAATCCACGGGCCAGAGGGTTTACATACAATTACTGGTTTCATTCAAGTGTTGCCACACACATGCAGAGACAATCCTTTCAAATGTCAGTCACTGTGGCTTTTCTCACAGGTGGCAACCACTGAGTGTATAAATCTGTCAGCATTTTGACAGACTTTCTGTTTCTATAAAATGAGCAATATGTCTACATGAAGTGCATCTTTCTTTCCTCCATGTGGGCCACCCTGAGATCTCCCTGTTCATTTGCAGAATCCAGCCTCTACTCTACCACAAACTCTAGTTCTTCTTATAACAAATAACCACCTAAGCTTTGGATGGAGCAGGTCGCAAAGTATTCTGGTTGTTGGAGGATTTCCCCCTTTAGAATTCACCAATTTTAAAAAAAACAATCACTCCTCCAACTACACAGATGGCCTAATTTCACAAGTCACTTTCCAAAGTTTTTTTTTTTTTTACTGTTGATTATTCAATTAGTTATTTGGTCTAAAAAAATGTCACAAAATGGTGAAAAATTACAGCCCTAAAATTATTCTGTTTACTGTTACAGAGGAGAAAAGACACCAGAAAAATATTCAGTGTTAAGAAGCTGGAATCAGAGAATTTAAACTTTTTTTTCTTTCTTTCAAAAATTACTCAAACTGATAGCTGGTGATTAATTTAGTATTTAACAAGTAATGGATTATCTGTTGCTGCCTTAATGTCAACCCAAAAACCAACAAGGTTTGGCTTCTGCAAATAATTAAAAGCGATGTGGTATAGCTATAAACTCTTCCTTTCCGTCTCCTCTCTTCTTTCAGTTTGCCCAGTACGTCACTAATTATGGACATATTTGTTATCGCATTACTCAGTTATTCCTCATCTTTGCACAAATAGCATCGATTTTCTTTCATTTCTTATGCACTTTGCACAAAGGCAGCTCAAACGCACTGTCCAGAGTCATGATGAACGATGGAAGTCGGGTAATGCAGCCTTTCTATAGTGGAAGTTGAAGGATTGCAAATATTTATTCTGGAATAAAATCTTCTATTTTTGCTTACTTCAAATCCCCTCCGCTCGGTGTTGTTGCCATTTTAGGCTCTTTTTTTTTTTTTTTTTTCCAATCAAATTATACCGTGGACTGGAGGTCATTGATTTGAACTGATCCTGTTGTGAGTGTAGCGTTGCTGCCGAGCCACAACAAACTTGCATTTATGACTTTTTGCCCACACCAACCATGTAAGACTTCATAAACCTGCCTCTACCTTTGCCACTTGGGCCTTGAGGTCCTTCACCTCCACCTCCAGGGCTCGCTTCTCCCCCAGGATGGTGTTGAGGGAAGCATCTTTAGAGTTGAGCAGAGCCTCCAGGTCCCTCAGCCTGACCAGAGCGGCCTCCAGGTCCGACTCCTTCTTAGCGTTCCTGTGAAGCAGAGAACGAAAACACAACGATGTTACTTTGCTGGTTCTTCAGCACTGTGTGTTTTGCCGTCACCTCCGGCTGAATGCATCTTCATGTCCCTGCTGGGGAGATTTAATTTGTTGTCCCTCTTCATCTCCAGCTGAGCAGTTTGTGTTTCTCAGGACTGTGTACTCACTGTAGTCTGAGAACACTCAGACCTTTTTGAGAGCTGAGAAGTTAATCTCACTTCACACTTAAAAGTGGCATCGATCCTGAGTTTTCCCACGTCTTATTCTGTAATTGTTTTTATATAAAAGCAACTGAAAGCTGCTAGACACAATGAAGTCGCCTTGACTTTCCACTGTAGTTACTATGAGCCAGATCTGTTTTTTTTTTTTGGAACGGAATATTTTTTGCCTTTTTGTATATTTTTACATTTAGTCAGGCTGCCACTCTTAATATTGCAAATATTACATTTGGTTGAGGTCTAACGTGCATAATTATGGTCACATTTTCTTAATAAAACCCACTGAGCTACATGCATGGCTCCTAAGAGTCACTGCAGACGCTTGACAAACTTAACAAGCACTAAAAGTCCATCAGTCTGTGTCGTAAATTATATCAGATTTTGTGGATTATTTGTGCACCTTTGGGACACAAAATCTGATGCGTTTTAGGTGGAAATGTTTTTATGTACCACGTAACATTTATATGACGAAAAGTGGGTCAATAGGCACCTTTTTCTGTGCTTTCACATACAAGAGTCGCTGTGACATTTGGGGAGTAGAAGTAGGAAACACACAACTGACAACCCATATGAACCATTTGACCAATCAGCTTTAGACAGATGTAAGGGCCCGCATAATTAACATATAGATATAGAAAAAAATTAAATGCAGATAAATAACAATTGTTGCATAGAAATGTAGAATTAAGTTTGAGATTTTAATTGAATTATGTTTTTTTCACTCCTAAGATGTTATTGTATTTTATGTTTAATTACAGATGTCTGCATTTATTCATATATCTATTTATTTTTGTCTTCTATCCTCCCTTTCTCTATCTTTACTTTTAAGCTCTTATCTTTTTATTTTAGAACTGTCTGGAATATCCAGATCTTCCAACATTTAATATGATGATATTTGCAGATTTTTTTAATTTTTATTTTAATGTTTTTTCACATTATTTTGTAATTGTGTGGTGGAGACTGTTTGAATGTAGTAATAATTGAACTTTACAACTTTGAGGAAAAAAATGTGCTTAGGGCCAAACAGGAATAATTATTATTATTGAATTCACAATTCACACGTGTTTACATACAGAAGCCTACTTGCAGAGGTGTACCGCCAGTAGATGTAGATGTTTGACATTGACATGAGCAGTGAATTCACTGAGAGCAAATCAGCTGAGAAGACGCAATGATCATCTTCAGTCTGCCGCATAATTCAATAAAAGCAGTTTTCTTTTGTCAGAGGTTTACTTTACATAGTTCTACTTTTTGCTGCCCTTAGGTCTGCAAAGTTAGTACTATAGAGAGAGCATGCTCCTTTGCTTCTGCTTAAAGTGAAACCTAATAAGTAGCAGGATAACTGTGCTGCAGTGACAGAAGCTGCAGACGACACAACCCGCTTGTTGTACAGTGCAGCAGCTGTCCGCCGCCGACATTAACTGAACACTTCATTGCACTGTTATTAGCCCTCCATACCAAACAAGAGCCCATTAAGCACCATCTCAGGGGGACCTGTGTTGAATTAAGAGAATTCACGTTTGCTGCACATGTGCTCGTGCACCATCTCTTTTCTAACATCTTACAGGAACCAATTTAGAGTACTGCTTGGGGAAAAAAAAATCTTGGATCTGTCTGTGGAAAAACAATATATTCCCAGCAGAATATGAAGACGGAGGAGGGGATGGAAGGAGGTAGTTAGCAGCATAGGTGGTTCATACACAGTCAGGGAGGAAATGGTCTCCCTCTTATTCTATTTGGCCCTGTGGGCTCATTGTCATTGTCACTAATAATGGCCATCTGCTGGGGGAGATGTATTCCAGGCTGCTCACACAGACCTCCGAGTCCTCCGGTCATGGAGCCAGGTGTTAAGACAGCCAGCGTAAAGAAAAGCAAGCAAACTCAGCCACAGACAGGCAGAAATGTACAGTTAAATACAGCAGAATGATGGTACAGAGTTCATTTGCCTTATGTGCCCTCAAAAGTGAAACTAGTTTATTGGTTTGTGATGCAGCAATCATCATTTATTACAGCTCTCAATAAAAGCTTTTGAAGGGGGTGAAAATGCCACTTGGTTTCTTGTAAAAAGCCATAAACAAGCAGCAGTAACTGCACCGTAGCAGCCAGTTTCAGGGTTGAAAAAAGAAGGAAGGATATGCAAAAGCAGAAAATGAATGAGTACTTTATGCATAGACAAAAGGTCAGTCTGTCTTTTAGTCCGTGTCATGGATTATATCGAACTATGTGAATTCTTTTTGTGTACTTGTGGAACACAGCAGGGGGTGTTGTAGAGTGAAATATGTTTGCGTTTACGTTGTTTTTTGTAAAAGGAAAAGTGTTTTTTTTTTTTTTTGCTTTCACCTACAAGCGAAGTTGGTGTGAGCTTTGTGGAGTAAAAGTTCAACAAGTGTCAACTAAAAGCTTCACATCTGCATCAAGGTGTACATGTCGTTCATTTTAAGGAGAGTGACAAGTGACTTGAATATAAATAAATGAAAAAATAACTAATAAACGAAAAAGGAAAAACATGCAAAAACCCGAAAAATGTGTAAGTACTCTATGTGCGGTAAAAAAATACAAACAAATCAGAGAGACTGCACAGGTTCTAAGTGGGACCAAATCACATTATGACTGAACCTGCACACAGACGCACACAAGAGGCTCTGAAGAGGAGGCAGAAACATCTCGTCCACTAAGCTCTAAGATATCAGAAAATGGTGGAAAAAATGCTCATCAGTGCTTCCCTAAGATGATAAAATGTCTTTTTCTGTCAAGAACCCAAAGATAATTAGATTATTATCATAGGGGAGGAAAGAAAGCAGAACATATTCACATTTAAGAAGACTTTTTTTTTTTAACTGATTATGGAAACAGCTGGCGATTCATTTATTAGTTGACAACTAATTAACTAATTGAAACTCATAACGCTCCATAAAGTTAAGTGGAGCTGCAGAAACATTTTGTCGGCTCATTACTATGAATTTCAATTCAATGAAATTTTATTTGTATAGCGCATATTTACAACAACAAGTCATCTCATAGCGCTACACAAAGGCAGAGACAGAAACACCCAACAATCCAGAACATATGGATTCCCTATAAGCTTCAGCAGTCCGCAAGCAGTCTGCAACAGAGGGAAGGAACCGAAAACCCCCGCAAGGGAAAAAAAACCTCAGACAGAACCAGGCTCAGGGAGGGACGGCCATCTGCCTCGACCGGTTGGGTGGATGTAGGATGAAATATAAAATTTAGTTTACAGTTAAACAAGTTATTAGAAGTTATTGTCCATGACTGATGGCATTTTGCACAGTAACTGATAGGAACTTCCAACGTTAAAACTGGTAAAAAAAAAAATGTTGTGTGCTTTTGGGTAGCTGTTTGTGGTGCTGCTGAATTGCTAAGAAGTAATATTTAGTCTACCCTCACTGATATGCATGGACCAACTGTGTTCCACTGCAGGAACGTATGAGGGTCGAAACTTTGTTCGAACTACAGGAACTGTGTAGAATGTCTTTCAGGGCTGTGCGGATATGGATGCTCTTTTCTTTTCTAGCATTGTCACTAAAAACCCAAAATTCACCACATTAGCTCGCATAACAAATTGTTCTAACACCTGTGTGCTCAGAACTGGAGTTACATCCAGTAGCTACTATTCACCATTGTTTCTGTACACTCCAAGTTAATGTCATCTTGAAACTGTTGGATCCAACACCTCAGTGGAAACTGAAATGCTGCAATGACCAATTAGATGTTTCTCTGTTGTATTAGGATGCAATATTTTTTGCCGGATGTAGCGAATAAACGAAAAGCTGAGCATATATGGTCAAAAATGCCAAAGTTGGAGCCAATAACTTGATTTCAATGACCAGATGTGCAGACCAGGTGTTCATGCAGCACCCTTTTTGCAGCGTAAACATCACTGGCAGTATCTGTTGCAAAAAGCCTTACTCAAGGGCAGATAGTTTGACTGCAACATCTGTGTGCGTGTCAACACATACGAACATGACGGAGGAATGCTGAGCAGATTGCATCTCAAAGGCAAAAGGAAAATATTTCTTCCAGTTAACCTTTTTGTCGTAATAATTTGCGACGAGAATGCGACTCTTTACGACCCAGGTGTGCACGCACTCACAATTATGAACATTCCCTGGATTCTTGGACCAACAAAGGCCGACGGTAACAGAGCGACCTTGTACAAACACAGCATTTATCCGTCAGATTGCACAACTAAACAAGCAGAGTAGTGACTGGGCTAAGATGAGGCGTGACAACTGCTGTAAAATGTTTTAATGACTATTGTTTTGTTGGGATGATACATGATAATAGAGTTTAACCACCGCTGGCTGGGCCATGCTCCCTGAGGCTTGTATAACTCTCTGGGTGTGATGAAAACTCATTTTCCAAGGCTGTTGTGCAACATTTTAGACGCACCACAGTTCTCGTTAACATATCGTGGACTTCAATAATCAACCTAAACAGTTCTGGCATAATGAGAACAAGACAGAGGCAGACTTTTTTATTAAATTTAGCTGTAAAGTGTGAATGCAATATAGGGTTTCAGCTGTTTACAACTTGGCAGAAACATTACCTGAAACTATACAGCTCTTGCCTAATGTTTTATTTTATTTCATTTTCTTTTCTTTTCATTTAGGCAGCGCAACTCTGCAGCTGATGAATGCTGCTGAGTGTGTGTTGCTGCTGTGATGTTCATTACTGCTAATGGGCCCAGTGGATCTGCTCCAGCAGTGAATTAATGGACAGAAGGGGCTTTAGCATATCAACATGCTGCTTGACA